GAAGATCGAGCAGCTCAAGTCTGACGGTATTGCGGATGAGATTGCACAACTCATGCGCAAGGACCGCGAGGGTGGCTTGAAGGGTGTCATTAGCTTGCTCAGCACGCTACCAACAAGTGAGAAGGAAGAGGTGCTCAAGATGTTGAGCAAGGCGTAATTGTGCGTTTTCTACGTATTCTTTTTCGCTTTTGATGCGCTTACGGCATGGCATGGCATTTTTATGAGATGTTTATGCTTCTTTTTCTTTCGGGTGTGGGGGAAATGACTGGGACGGCGATAGTGTAACTTTAGCGTTGTTAGTGCGAGAACTTTTTTTGGGAAATTTTCTACTCTCACTGTCAGCAGTTTGAGAGAATGAGAGGGAAGCAAAGTAGTTTCATGAGGGGGATAGATGGGTCAGGAGGAGGCTGTGTTGGGAGGCACATGTTTTTCTCCTGGTCCTGTCTGTTTTAATACATGTAGCGAAATCAAACTTATTCAAATTAGTTGCTGTAACTAGTAGTGTATTTATACTGTAGGTTAGTGGTTGCACGATACAATAACGATAAGACACTTTCACTAGACGATCTACATTTATTGCTATACGTCTCTTTTACTCGTCATTCAACGACTAAAGGCAGCGGAAAGCTCTATGGGTGTATGAAGATAGCCATGCACCCACACTCAATTCAACACCATCACTATCCATGAAAATCCCCCCACCATTTCCTGTCTAGCCCTCCTTACTCTCCCCATAATCCCACTCTCCTTTCCCTCCCACTCCCATCCCGATCGGTCCGAGAAAAAAGCATCCTTCGAATCGCAAGGTGAGGTGGGCGCAGATCACCTACGTCTCTTTCTACAAGACTCCACTTTTTTCCCGTCTCGGGGCGGGGTTGTTGTTCCAACGAATGCCCTAAACCCATGCACAAGATACGTCACTCGGCTCCAAAAGCTGTTTGGAAGAGAAAAAAATCTCCGTGAGGGCATTGAACATAAGCTCTTTCCTTTCTCTCTCTCTTCCTCAACACAATTGAAGCTCAATTGACGTTACCCGCACTACTGTATACTGACGCATCCGCATCCGCATCCGCATCCCGTTCTCACGTGCTCTATTATATCCATCCCGAGCATCCATACATCCACACACCCAAGCCCATCCAGACGGGAAAAGCGTCAAGAAAGAGTGAGGGGAAACAAAATGGTCTACACAATTGTCGTCCACCTCGTCGCAAAAGACGATGCAGAATGCATCCGCAAGCTCAGCGCCAAGCTCGTCGAGGCGAGCCAGGTGTACAGCCAGGATAAGGAGACGCTGAGCTGGTTCGTCATGCAGGATACAAAGGAGCCGCGCAAGTTTTGTATCGTGGAGCGGTATGCGCAGGAGAGTGTAAGTTTTCCCTTTTTCTTCTTTTCCATATTTACCGCCCCCTCCCTCCCACATCTCTCTTGTCACAACGACGAAGGGGTGGGGGGGGAATGTTTTTTCCCTGCACGTGATAAACCCACCTTTCTTCACATTCCCCCCCCCCCCCGCTTTCCTTTCTCCATTCCCATCATTATCAGTCAAGCGCGGGGGGTTTGGGTAGCAAGGGAACCAACCCAAAAAGAAAAAAGATTTGGAAATTAAGGAGAGAATGTTTATGCTGATGCGTGAGGGTGTTTTTTATGTGCAGTCCCAACAATACCATCTTAACAACCCGTATTGGAAGACGTTTGATCCGTACGTTATTCCGCTGCTGGCGGAACCCATGGATCTGCGCCGCTTTGAGGAGCTGGAGACGAGTGGCAGCAAGGCGAATGCGCATTATCATGAAGATGCGGTGAGGACGGAGACGAGTCTGGGCGATATGTACAAGGGTACTGATGCGTAGGGTGGTTTTTATTACATTCAAATTCATTTTTGCGCAGTTGTCAAAAACAAGGGGTTTTTTTTGGACATGTGGTTTTTGACTTGAATTGAAAAAGAGTGCGAGTGCATTGTTTTCTTTTGGTTAGATGATGGAAAGTGAGAAGGTGGGAATTACTTGTGTTAGAGGGGGGGGGGGTATTTGGAGTGGTTATCAAGTAAAAACAAGAGTATTTCTGGGGTTATATGGAAAGATGGGGTGGGCGCAACGATATGGAAACATGATATCAGATACGCAAGTGGTTAAAATAAGTCAATTCTGATTGTCCATATAGCTATACGGTGGTACGAGCCTCATCTCATAACCTTGGTAACGCGTACACACTTCCCATCACCCGTCTCAACTTCATCCAAGTCACCCATGGCCTTTCCCGTCGAACGATGAACAAATTCCGGATCACGGTCCAGAGCTTCAGCCTGCACCGCAAAAGAGCGTTTCAAATGGTTCAAAGACTCTGTAGCATCGCCTTTCCCAGCGCTCTCGGGCGTCATCGCCTGCCACTCACTGTGTCGTTCGCGCCAATCCGGACCCAGAATATCTACCAGATTGATAGAAGCCTTGCGATTGATGTTCCTGCGCATACGTGGATGCCACATGTGATGATGTATCATTCCCGAGGCGAAGAGCTGCGGTTCTCTAAAAAGTGGACTGCCCCAGATTTTGTTGACTTCGCGGATGTACTGGGCGTATGGACGGGTATTGACGCGCTCCATAATTCTATTCTCTTTGATACGTGAATGACCCCGACCAAACATGATAATAAATTGCTCCTGGAGAACTTTGAGAACGGTATGGTAGTGTACGTATACGCCGAGATCGCGCAGTTGGACTACGGTTTGAAGGCCGATACTCCACCCTAGGCGTCCTATGAGATGATTTTCGAGCAAGCGGTGGCGGTAGTGTTTCTTTGCGAATCTGGAGTTGAGTATGTTTTGTTCCAGGGTGGCGTTGGGAAGTAATCCGGCTCTGAATCCCCATCTAATAAGACCTTGGATGAGTGAGGGCTGGAAGATTTGTCTGACTGGATGAAATTTGTTCTGGCGTTGCGTGACCGTCACGGGAAAGTTGAAGTAGCGGTTAGTCTCTGGGTAAAAAGCACGCAGCTTTGTGGTCGCTGATTCTAGGAAAGGCGATTTTGGCAGCGTCGCAAATTGGAAATGACTCCTGGGCGCGTACCAGCAGAGGAGCCAGAGGAGGAGACGCCGTAGCTCCCTCAACCTACCTTCCATGCCGAATCGGCGAATAATCTCGCGCCAGTGGAGCGGAGAGATGGCTCCCATTCCCATCTCAAGGATCATCATGAAGGTACGTGTTACGAAGCGGAGATCATCATACGTCTTTTGTGGAGGAGCAACAGGCCTGTGCCCTCTGCTTCGTCGACGCAGTAAGCCTTTGATCGCCATGATTGACTCCGGTGTCAGTATGACATTCTTAGCCCGCATGTCTTGAAGTACTGCCATGACATGCTCTGGTCCAGTGCGTGTGATACAAGTCTGTAGAAGCAGATTCCAGGCCTCCTGGCTTGGATCGTTGTGAAAGAGAGTAAGGATAGCCAGGGTACGCTGAGCTTGCAATCGATCACCCTGTTCAAGGTAGAAGTCGAGCAGTGTCCGCTGCACCTCAGCATCGCCAAATACATCTGGATGCTGGTCACTTTCAACTATGCTGCGCACCAGCTCCCACCTCTGCTCCGAAACAAACTTCTCCAAAGCCAATGAAAAGACGCAGCCTTGCAAAACGATACCAGCCACCCTAAGTTCTTCAAATCTGCTTTGGAGCTCTTCTATAGGCTGTGTCTGCCGGGCCATGGTAAGCACAGCCAGTGGTCCAATTTCGTTCACTCCCACCATGGAGAGCCCATGTATGACGGAAGCTGGCGGGAAGGTCCGCGTTGCGAACATACGGGCAACGAATGAATCTTCGAATCGAACGGGTGCAGTATCAGGACCTGACAAGCGGCGCATGAGCTTCTCATTGTACTTGGTTTTCTCACTGTGCAGAACCTTCCTCGTCCCTGTCACATCGACCTGTACTTTGCGGGCTATTGCCTCGACAGTAAAGAGGCGAACGACAGGGTGTGCTGCGACACTCTCTGACGGCATGTCACCGCGCTCAGTGCAAGTCATATGCCAATGGCGTGCTATTGCGATGGCACGTTTGTCTATCAAGGCTGTTACCACTTCGTCATAAAGGTCCCGTTCGTAGCTATGTTCATATATCTCCCTCAAGACTTCGTATGCGTCATTCTTGAAAGTAAGCCGACCTGACCGGGCCAATTCGCGCAAGGGGAGTTTCTTAAGGTGCAGGTTCTTTACCAGCGCATGGTGATATTTCAACGCTGCCCTGGGGTCCCTAGGGAGCCAATGGCTAATGACTAGGCTGTATAAACGAGGGAACGTCTTGCCCGTCTCGCAAAGTAATTCTCCTGCATGCTCCACAGCCTTCGTTACGACCCGGTGATGCTTTATGAAAGTTCCCCATAGAAATTCGGCGTCAGGCGTGTCCTCAGTGGGTAGCGAATAGCCGTGGTAACGAATGCTTCGCCAGACATTCCGGACGCCCTCTGCCCCATTGATCCTCTCTTCATATGCAAGAACGGTGGCAAGCTGTTTAGGGTCGTCCTCCCGCCCGGTCAAAGGTATGGCTTTATTCTTGAATATGTCGATTGTCGGTTTGACTGCGTCATTGGCATCGTCATTTTGAAGGGCTTCGCGGATAGACTCTCGTAGCGCTGCTTCCAGGGCTGCCTCTTTCATGCGTTTCCATTTTGGGTGTGTGAGACGACCTGTCCGATATGTGATACTGTTGGAATAGTTGCGGTGGTGAGGGACAGAGCAGCATTTGGTGGCTGTTGAGCAAGCGGCAGGGAATTCCGAGGCATTGACAATGGATCGCAGGAGTCGCAAGGCCGACGGGCTTGCGAGGAGCCTGTCGAGGGCCGGTGGCATCAACAAGACAAGATGCGAGGGTGATACTTGTCCATTGGCGGCCGCAATCGTCTTGCGGTCCCACGCTCAAGTCTGAAGATGCGGAAAGTTGCTGTGCCCAAACGGGTCAAGGGCCTTGGCATTCGACTCTCTTCCGCCGATGGATCATTCGACCTCGCGACGTAGAGAAACCGCCCATACCACGAAACCACCAATTGCCCCCGCAAACCACGCAAACATACATCTACAGACTTCAAAATGGCAGGGTACGTCTTGGATAGAGCTATGGACGGCATATTGGGCTGTGGGGAGCGCAGCGCCTGCCGCTTCGAGGCCCCCGATATGACACACAGAGCTCGACACTGACAGCCGGCAGCTGGGTTATGCGCGAGAACCGCGTGCCTCACTGGCAGCGCGAACACCAAAAGCACGACGGACTGAGGACCTGGGAGAAGGTGCGTTGTTGGATACAAGAGAGGGCATGACATGGCTATGATGCGACTACGAAGAGCATATAACGGAGCCATTGGGATGCATCGACCTGCAGCATCGACATAGTGGCAGGATATTTGCTGACATAGCTTGGTACAGGGTCGTGGCAAGTGGATGGTCCCCGGTTACAAGGTCCTCCTGTACACCAGCTTCGGTGCTAGCATGTACATGATGGGCCGTCTTGTTCTCGTACGTGTGGACACTACCTATGGCAGAAATACCGCTAATAGTTTCTCTAGGGACACAAGACCTGGGTTGGCAAGAACTAGAGTGTACAATTCGAGCATGATATCTACACATGGCTGGACTGGGAGAGACACATCCATGTCCATGTACAAGCATCCAACGAGTGTTTGACTTGCAAAGAGCAGCAACATCTCTCTTATTTCAATCAATAGAGCATTCTGCCTTTCGGCTCATACTAGTCTTGATGCTCTCAAACATCGTCTCCCACTCTCGAAGCTTACAGGTCCAGGCAAATGCAACAAAGCAGATCGGTGACATTACATTGAGCTAGGCCCGAACATGATAGTGACTTGAGTTGAAAATTTCCGCCTTCTTCGGCTTGGCTAGGTAAGTTGGCTCCAGGCAATGCGATGATGACTTTCGAATGCGACCTGTATCGGAAGAGGGCTTGTCTCGTCAATGGCTATCATTTCAACAATTATCGTTTTGCAATCCAAGGAAAAAGCATGCATATTCTCACGTTTTCTACTCCACTTCGGATGAAAAGTACGCGCATACGGCGCTGACGACACTGCGCTACCTTGAGGCTCTTGAATGACATCGCAATTGTGCCCCTCCATATACGGGCTAGTTCCTGTAAAATGAGGTCAGTGCCAACAGTGGACTAAAGCCGAGCCGAGATCCTTCCCCAGACCTCCTGCGCCCGCCAAAACTCCACGTACACCTGTTCATTGGGAGCTGTCAACGCAATGGCGGACTTCGTCAAGGGTCTCTTCGGGGGGCAGAAGCCTATGCCTGCCCCAGCTGCTGGTGATGATGGTACGTAGCCCTCAGGTTGCCCGCACAATGGCACGCCCAGCCATTGCGGCAACACAACAACGTATGCGCACGCTGCTAACAACACCAGACTTTGCCGACTATGCTGGTGCTCCTGATCCCAAGCCCGCAGCCATCTCGCCTGTTACAACTCTCACCGGCGCAGCGCAGGCGGTTCCCACGTCCCTCGGCGCGAACCGACCGTATACGGCATGGTACCGCGTGTGGGAGCGCACGAGCATAGATGATTTCCAGTTGGAGATTTACGTCTTGCCCTTCCTCTTCCTCCTTGTTGCTTTCCACCTTTGGGGCACCAGTCGCAACCGAAGCAAAGCGAAGACATGGATCAAGGCACATGCCCCTGTTCTGACCCAGGAATTCGCCCAGGTCGGCTATACGCGCCCGCAATCCGAGCAGTCTGTTACCGATGTCGACAGCCTGCTCAAGGAGAAGGCGGCCGATGAGTTCCAGACCTACGCGACCGGACGTCAGAACGTAGCTTTCGTCGATTTCAGGCTTTCGTTCTCCAAGGGCTACAACCCCTTTATGTGGCTGGGAGACCACATGCTCCCTCTGTTCTTTGAGAGTTTTCCTCCTCCCGTCGAGCGTGTTGGGGCCACGGCATACGTGTTCGATGGCCGTGAGACCAAGATTGCTCCATCATACGGCCAGGGCGATGCCAAGAAGGTTTCCAACAGCACTTTTGATGGCTTTGTCTTTGCCGTCGTGCACAAGGATATGATGAAGCGCATGCGTGAGGACCGGTACGACTTGTCTCTAACTACCACCCGCGACCACGCCAAGTTGCCAGTATGGACCACTGTCATGAGCGAAAGCGCCGAGGTTACGGATATGCTGCTCACTCCCGAGCTCATCAAGGCTATTGAGCAGGCTGGAGACAACTTTGAGGCTATCATCGTTACTGACCAGCCGATTGATGCGCCCAAGACGTGAGTTTAGAGTCTCCCAGACATTGAATAGAACTAACACGACGCAGCCTCGACGAAACCAAGCCTCGCAAGCGTATTCACCTCTCGCTTAAATACACATCCGACTACACCAACACTATGCCTCTGTTCCAGTACTTCCTCCGCCTCCCCGATTTCCTGGCCACGTCTGCGCACTTCCGTCCTGAAGCGCTCCGCCGCATCAAGCAGACGCGCGATGAGCAAATTGCCAAGATCCGCAAGGCTGAGGACGAGGAGAAGGCTGAGGAACGCAAGCTCGCTCTGGACAAGCTGAAAAAGGAACAGCGTGACGCTAAGCTGGGTCGCTTGAGCGCCGAGGAGCAGCGCAAGTTTTTGGAGAAGGAGCGCGAGAAGAATGCTAGGAAGGGAATGAAGAGGAGTACGGTCAAGGCTTAGAAGGGCTTGCCTGGGAGATAGTGGGGAGGAGAAGGAGAGGGGGGTTGGGAAAAAGATAATGTAGATGGGCATGGATGGCTTTTATGATTTAGTGTCATGTTGGAATGGATGGGAAATGCATACTGTGGTTCAGGATGTATAGTTTATTAGCCCTCCACCTCCTTTGCCGTTTTCAAGGGGGAGGTTCTGTATGAAAAAAAAAATTGAGTGGCGAGGGTTTGATACCGAAGTCATTGTATTGAAACAACCTTTTTTCTTTTGCGAGCTGCGTTTGATTCGTCATGGTGATGGTAAGTGATGTTTTGCAAAGCCTTTTTCCAATGTAAACCTGAGAGTTTTTTTTTTCTTCTATATAGCAAGTGCTTATCACGTCCCATGTTTTGGTTGTAGAGAGTCTTAAGAATAGTGTCAAAGCACTGTTTAGGGATTCGTATCTATGATATCTAAGTTGTTGAAGTATTGTCTATGCCCCCCCCTTGTTTCACTGAGTTGCTGGAAACTTGCTAGGTAAACGTTACCTTTAATGGTTAGGGGGAGGAGAAAGAATAGGTTGTAGTATTTCAGTGAAGTTTGGGGGGTGGGAGGGATGGTTGGTTTATGAGACTCGTGAATTCATGTAGATGGGGTGGGACAAGGTTGTTTGATTATGTTATTTCTTTTCTTACATTTCTCTCTCTTCTTGTGTTAAAGATTTGTGAAAGTTAGAGAGGTAGATAGATTTTTTTGCTTGGATCTTGGATTTTTAGTTTGGGTTTTTTTTATTTTATTTTTTTTCATTGCGAGTGTGCGGCTTTAGTATGGGTTTTTTTGGAGGGAAAGAAGGGAGAGGAGTGTCCAAGTGTGTATGATCTGATGTGTTATTATGTCCACTATATTTGCTCTCTCTCTTTTTCTTTTCTACTTTCTACTTTTTTTTTGTTCATTCTTGCTTGTAAGAAGAATGGGGTGATTCATGAGGAGTTTGGTGGGTACAGTATGATAGATTTGATACTGAGCTCTTTGAATAGTTTTTGTGGTGTAGGGTGGGTAGGAAGTATAATTTTATCTCATTAAGGAAGAGAATAGAGTTATGCTTTTGATAAGGATTGAATGTATAGGTATGTCTTGAAGCTGGGGGCTTGAGATTTTAACCAGTAACGGGAAGTTATATGGATTACGAACATAAGGAACAAGGGCGTACGAGATGGCTGGTTAGCTTTTGGATGTATGAACGAAGGTTTTTGGTTTTACAACTGTTTCTTTGAGGACGATGTGGTTATTATGTTTGGGAACTTATTATGTCATTTTTTTTAGTCCTTCATGTTGGACTGCATATAAGAGTAGAGCAAATAAACAAAGTTGTTTTTGAAGGCGTAGATGTGTTTCCTCAGTATCCAATATGTATATTCTTGTTAAATCAAGTGTTATCAAATTGTATGAAGCCTTTCCAGATGTAGACCATTTCTACTATTTTTGAGAGACTGAATAATATCCATATTGAGGCTCTAGTTCCTTCCGCTCAGTTGTATGACAGTTACATTGTGGCAATGCATATTGCGGACAAACACATTGAATACATGTTCTTTTTGTTAAGATTCCTTCTGTTACATGTCAATTGTAAGATAGTTTGGATTACATTTCTTTGCACCAATGATTCTATTTGCTAGTATTTCTTTGGTCACTCCGCCTGTTGGTCAAGAGCACGATTGAAGGAGTTCCATGGATGGCTTACGAGATAGTACTCAACAAACGGTCAACTCGTTGTTCGACGTTTCTGTGGTTTGGTTAGTCAACAAATGTTGATTGTGTGTGCAGCTAAGTGCATAAACAACTTTCTACGGAGTCGAATGAGAAACTCTTCCATCTGCACTAATGCAACCAAATGCGCCCGGGTGTTACAACATGAGGCGAGGCATTGCAGCTCATGTAAACTAGTGCAAGATGATAAGCGTGCTTAGACGGGCATTGATTAGTTGGTAAGCAACTCACACATGGCACTATTGCTTTGTTGTTCCGGGGAAGTTGGAGGCTGTGGTGCGGCGGGGCTAGAGAGCAGGTGCAGGGTAGCTTCCAGGTCTAGCAGTCTGCTCTTGCCTCCCACAGGATAGCCGAGATAGACAACAACATACTGCGGGCAAGGCAACTCACAACCCACCACCTGCAAACACATCAACAAACACACGGCTAAACAAACAAACAAACAAACAAACAAACACAGCACGACTTAGAAGCGCCGATTCATCTATACGAAATCGATGTCAAGAGCTGATACACGGGCCCTCGGCAAACCGAGCAGCCCAGCCAGGGGGCGCTGGTCTCTGGACATCGTTGGGGCACACGGCGGCTCCTCAAGATTACCGTCCCAGGATGGCCTGTCGCCTCACTAAAAAGAAAGGTGCCAACACAGCCAGATAAACCGGTTTTTCCGCGACGAGCAGTCGGAGAAATGGAGATTTCTGGAGCAAAAGAGACGGACTTTTAACATGTCGTCGCAGTAGGGCCATGGGGAACCCTGCTTGGTGGGCTGTCGCCATGTCAGTTCACGAGAGGATGCTGGGATGCGGGCAATAACGCGAAGAGCATGGCAGGCATGAGCGACATTGACAGAGCGGACAGTTGGGTGGCGATGGGCAGAACGGTCCACTGTGATGAAACTGGAGGTGCCGCGCGTGCTGCATGTCAGGGCTGGGCGCGCACACCATGGGGGAACGATGGGATGATGCGGCCATGGCATGGAGAACCACGGTTCGCCTGGGCGGGTGGTGCTGTTTGTTGACATGGACAGACACGGCCACGGGGCAGGCGAGCGAGCTGAGCAGCGCAGAGCAGCGCACAACCGCGCTTTTCACGTGATAGTCCGGAGGATCCGTGATCAACAGCAAGCCACGGAGCTTGGGCGCTGCAGCTTGGGCGCGCCGGCAGCCAATGGCGACGCGCCAAAA